AGAACTTCCTCAACCCAATGTCACTCTGATCCCCAGCAGAGAAGACTTCTCTCTTCTCCCCTCCTGGCCCCACAAATGGAGAGGTGGCTTATCTGTCATGAAGACCTCTTGGGCACTGTCTCCTTTAATAACCTAAGTCACCCAACTATGGATCAAATGAGGCAGGTCAGGCCCAGAAGGAAGCAAGGTCCAGTCCATCACTTATGCATGATGTTTAAAGAGCACACGAGCAAAGAGCTAAGACCTCTCAAGGCTCCTGGTGCAGGCCCCTTCCCACATGCTGGGGGGGTACCTGGCCCCAAAGGTCAGACCCCAAGTTCCTGCTTTCACTCCTCTCTTCTGGCCTGGAAGCAAGGTCCAGGAAGGGCAGTGGGAACCTGCCCTACAGCACACCGCCAGCCCCTGCTGGGAAACAGAGTAGACAGGCCTGGATTGGAGAGGTAAGGAAGCCTGAACTCAATCCCTGCAGAGTTCCCTATCCAGCTGCAGACCTCAGGCTGGATGCCTGAAAGCAGTGGGATGGGACAAGATGAGACTGCTGTGCCATCTCATGGAGTCTATTCTCATGAGCATAGGAAGCTTGAGGGTCTTCTAGCAAACAGATGGCAGCCTCCCCCAGGTTTTGGCATCTAAAACTGGCAAACTGGGCATCTGATCAGAAGCAGATAAGGGTGACACCAGTAAGCTGGTGTATTTTGGCCCAAAACAAAGACGTTTGTAATGAAGTATGCTGGGCTGAACTGTAAGAGGTGTTCATTTCTCTGCACATCACCAATAGCTACTAGACCCCACATAACTCTTGAGGACCCCTGGGACAGCAGCTTTCCAAGCTGACTAGGGACCCATTACACAGTCCCAAGGCCTCCTTTACTCTGCCACTCAGTGATCCCCAGAGTCAAAGCCTGGGCTGGGATCTGCCTGCGTGCCTGATAACAATCATGCAGAGGGGCATGGAAGCCACCAGCCATTCTCACCCCTGCCAGCCCTGGTGGGGTGGGGTGGGGTGTGAGGGCTGCTGGCAGCAGTGGCTTTTCCCACAGAGGCTCACAGAGAGCTGCAACCAGAGGTCCCAGAAGACCAAAGAAAAGCAAGTTTCTGAAGCTCTTCCTTCTCTTCCAAACACTCTCTGGCACTAGGAATCAGCAGGAATGAGAAAAACAAGGGCAGATAGCCTTTTGTTTGGCCAGACAAGACCCAATAGAAGCTGCCTTCAAAGCCCCACTCTATAGTTACAACAGGTGACCTTGGGCATGCCATTCAACCTCTCTGAGCCTTGGTGAGTGTCTGTAAAAGGCAATGATAAGAATGCCACCAGGCAAGGGTTTTACTAGATGAGATGTGTTTCTAAAGCCTACAGATGTAAACAAAGGGAACACAGCCTGAGCATTTACATCATCTGGCCTTCAGGTCTGAACCTTGCCTTAGGTAGAGCTGCAGTTTTGGTATGTTCAGGGAGCATCCTATATCCCCCTCTGCTAATAGAGACCAAGTGGTCTTCACCTGGACCCCTGCTGACTAGGAGAAGGAGCTTACCCCAAATACCTCTGCCTGGGCCACAGGCTTGGACCATGGGGCCTGGAATCCTGTGTAAAACACAGCCTTCGCTGGGAAGGTTCCTTCACCTCTCCTTGTTTCACCATCAAGAGGTCAGGGTTACCGTCAGGAGGTCTTAACGCAATGCATAGCTCATCTTTGATTTTACTTAGTCCTTTCCAACCAAACAATCCCAGAGTCAATTCTGACGTATGGTGACCCCTATATATACAGTTTCTGAAGTGGTAAATCTGTATGGGAGAAGGCAGCCTCATCTTTCTCTTTCAGAGCAACTGGTAGCTTTAAACCACTGACCTTGCTATTAGCAGCCCAGAGCTTAACCCACTATGCCACCTGGGCTCCATCTGGAGGCTGCTAGTAAGGGGTAATTAATGGACTTCGTAAGTTCAGCAATTACTTTCTAAAGCAGCACTTCTGATGAAGTTTATCACCTGTGTTCCTGTGCATTCTAGAATGCTAGGAGCTGCTAATAGGCTGGGACTTCTGAGGTCTTTATCAAGCATGGATGACTTCTAGGCACCAGCCTAAACGAAGTCCCCTTAAAGAACATAAAGAACACACAAGTAAAATCCAAAACTGACATGGAGAGCAGACATACATACTGATGCAGTTTGGCTACCACAGACAGGAACACTACAGAAACAAAAACACTACAGAAATAGAAACAAGAGTCACTCTCCAGTCCACTGTTCATGGGCTTGATAACCGTCAGCAAAATACCTCCCTGCTGTAAGCCTCAAGTTCTTCATCTCCAAGACAGAGCCAGGGTAGAACAGCTCTTAACCACTGGGCCACCGGGAGTCCTTGGAGTTCCATTCCGACTCAGGGTGCCCTGGAGGACAAAGTAGAACTGCCCCATAGGGGGGCCAAAAGTGTCAATCCTCACAGGCACACGCTGCCTCAAGCTCTCTTCCGAGAAGCAGGCTGGTGGGTTTGGACCTCTTACCTTGCAGTTAGCTGCCTAACACTTACCCCACTGCACCCCTAATGGTGCCACCAGCCCTTTCTTTGCCATGACAGTGGCTAGCTAGGGTACGAAGGAACAGTGTGTGCGGGCCCCGGCTTCACGGAGTTGTTAGTTGCTGGGTAATACCGAGCCCAGCTTCTGAGTAGAACTACTCCATGGGGTTATCAAGGCCAAAAAGAGATCTTCTGAGGTGCCCCTGGGTGGGTTCGAACATCAACCTTCAGGCTGGTGACTAAGCCACCAAGGGATCACTTTGCACACCACAACTACTATTATGTAAAAGACCCTTGATAAAGTCTATGTCTTCGGTACTTCTTCTTTTAGACCCCTGAAGGTCTTTCGGGGCACATCAACCTAAGACAAGCATGTGGAGTGAGGGCCTCGGCCTGGGGGCCCACTCCTTTAAGAACACGTGTAGGTTACATACTGATGAGGGCAGGCCGTTTCTCTCTGCACCCCAGGGAGGGCACACTGCTGACGCAAGACAAGCATGAAGGTTTTTGTTCTGAACTGACTGGTAATTTGGAATTACTTCACCTCATAAATTAGAGCCCACCATTGCTAATATTTCCTTATGTATCTCTTTTTCAAAGCCATTAGCGTCTCCATGACAGGAGCCAGAAAAAATCTCCGATGCCTCAATAAGACTTATAGTATATGGCACGTTCTTTTTATTTTAAAAAGTGTGGATTGAATGCAATTTCTGGATCAAGCCCAAAGAAACCACATTTAAATCTTTAAACACATGAGGAGGGGCATACTTAACAGTATTTAAGTATCACTATCAAGAATGGAAAGTAGCCTTGGTGCATAGTGGTTACATGTTGGGCTGTTAACTGCAAGGTCCGAAGTTCGAAACCAACTGCTCCAAGGAAAACATACAGGCTCTCTATTCCCATGAACAGTGAGTGTCTAGGAAACTCACAAGGGCAGCTCTACCCTGCCTGACAAGGTCACTATGAGTTGGCATTGACTCAACGGCAGTGATTAAGAACCAATGGTGTAATAGGTTACGTGTTGGGCTGTGAACTACAAGGTCAATAGTTCACCAGTTCAAGCCCACCAGCCGTCCTGGGGAGAATGAGGCACTCTGTTCCGTAAAGATTACAGCCTCAGAAATCCGACGGTCACGATGAGTCAGAGTCAAGCTGAAGGCAGTGGGTTTCTGAGTTATTAAGAACGCTAAGGAGTGGTGCAGCGGTTAAAGCGCTCAGCTTCAAAACAAAAGATCAGCAGGTCAACTCCCCAGCAGCTCCAAGGAAGAAAGACAAGGCAATCTGCTTGCACCAAGATTCACAGCTCTGGAAATCCTGTGGGGCAGCCTATAGGGTCGCTGAGTCAGAATCAACTTGTCCCCAGGGAGATGTGTTTCAGAGCCTTGGACCCAATGAGCCAATTCAATTCTGTGTTACAGTGTCACTACATGTAGGGATCTGCTCAAGGGCAACTGTTAACTCCATCTTACTACGCATTTGCCCTTGGAGATGAATCATCTCTTTGGTAAACTGGAGATAATTGTCCCTCCTTCAGAAACAGTATGAGGATTACATATAACCACCCATACCATGTGCCTACAGCTGGCCTCCCCGAAAAAAACAAGCTCTCTGTCTTCAAGTTGATTCCGACTCATAGTGACCCTACAGGCCTGGGTATAACAGGCCCTGTGGGTCTGCAAGACTGCAAGTCTTTACAGGAGTAGAACTAGCTTCTTCTTTCTTCTGAGGTGTGGCCGTGGTTTCAAACCAATGACTGTATATAACCCATTGCCCAACACACAACCCAGTATACTACCAGGGTGCCTGCAACTTGGCCTGGCACTCAAAAATCTCACATTGCCATCAAGCCTGTTTCGACGTATAGTGACCCCACGGGACACAGAACTGCGCCCCTGTGGTTTCCAAGGCTAAATCTTTATGGGAGCAAAATCGTCTTTCTCTTGCAGAGTGGCTGGCAGGTTTGAACAGCTGACTTTGCAGTTAGCAGCCCAACTCATAACCCCCTATGCCAGCAGGCTTAGTAAAGAGCTCAAAAAATGACCTTCATTCACCAGGCAGGCCTCTCCCCTTGCAGGAAATCGAAACACCAAACTCACTGCCTTTGAGCGGATGCCCACTCCTAGCAACCCAAATGAACAAGGTAGAACTGCCTCTGAGAGTCTCTGAGACTGTAACTCTTTACGGGAGTAGACAGTCCTTTCTCCCACAGAGAGACTGGTAGTTTCAAACTGTACACCTGCGGTTAGCAACCCAAGGCGCAACCACTACACCACTAGGGCTCCTTCCCCTCTGGAACAGCTAAAGCTGTCCAAAAAACCAAACCAAACTCACTGCCATTGAGTGGAAGCTGACTCACAGTGACCCCCTGTGCGATTCTGAGACTGCTTGCGGGCGTACGAAGCCCTCTTTCTCCTGTGGAGCAGCTGGTGTTTGGAACTTCTGACCTTACGGATCATAGGCCCACTCATAACTACTGCACCACCATGGCTCCTGGTATTCCCCAATTAGTGGAGGGGCCCACCTACTACCTCTCCACCGGGGCCCTGGAGACCCTGCTGTTCCCTTCTCAGGGAAGCCGGGCCTTCCCCAGTGACTTCCCATGGGTCACGAGTACTATGGCGGCACTCGGCCGTGTGCTCTGGCTGCTGAACAAGCACAACATGGGCTTTTTGCTGGGAAAACACTCACAGCAGGCCAATGCCTTGGCAGAAGGCCAGTTGGTCCATTCCAGCCTCCCCGAGGCAGCCTCTGGGCCAGCCAAGCCAGGGTGCTCACTGTCATGGGGGAACAAGGGAGGCCTGTACCCGACAGGTGAAGCCCAGAGCAAGCTCTGTCTCTCCTGACAAGACCCTCTGACCCTCATCCTAGCCAGAGTGAACTAAGCACCAACAACATCTGTGCAGGGCACTCTTCTCCAAAGGGAAAGGGTGGGTTAATGTGGGGCTCCCAGCTCAGTGATCTCACAGCACGTGAGCTGAGATCGATGTATGCTAATTACAAATCCACAGAGCAGAGGAGGTCTGGGCTAAGCAGAGAAGAACTTAATTACTAAACTAGGAAGAGATTCCAAAAAGAGAATTCCAAACTTCCCAAGCCCATTCCCATTCCTGAGTTTCCACATCACCAAAAAGTACCCAAAAGTTTTTATTCCTAAGAATAACCACAAAACAACATAGCCGTGTGTTCATGAAGTTTCCGAGCCTCTCATTTGTGAAGCACATGCCAACAAGATTTTGTGGCTAACCCAAAACTTCTTCTTATACTTTGGGGAAATAACCTTAAGCCCCCTATTTTCTAAGAATTGAATTCAGATGCCCTTAAGATAGAAGAAGCTTGCAATAATGTATTTCTTCTCTAAATGTAAACTTGGGGAACAGGGAGAGAAAATAAAAACTCACTGTTGTATACTTATGTATCCATCAATAAGAAGCTAAAAGATATGCTTCACATTTATGCAAAAGCCAAACCCTCAGAAAATCCAACTTTAATATTCAAGAGCTGAACATCTGGGGACAATGACTTACTGACCAGTACTGTACTGGAATTTAGGGGTGGAAATGACAAAATTCCTGTGACATCCTGAATGAAACACCTACTCTTGCACTTTTGAAAATGTGAGTGTCATCAGTGTTCGAGCTTCCAGCCTGGCTCAATCCCTTCTGGAGTTCATAGGTGATTCATTTGTGTGGCAGAACTGAGATGAAACAGGCAATGCAAAAAACAAGCAATTGCCCATTATATTCACTTTCCAGTGTAGTCACCCCGAATGAAGACCAAGAACTCTGCCTTAGAGGAGATTCTGCCAGAATTGCTTTTAGAAGCAAAGATGACGACTTTATCGCATGTGCTGTGGACATATTATCAAGAAAGACCAGGCCTTGGAGAAGGACACCATGCTTGCAAACCAGAGTCAGTGGTAAAAGAGGAAGACCCTCAATGAGACGGAGTGACAGCAATGGGCTCAAACATAACAATTGTGAGGCACGTACAGTATCAGGCAGTGTTTGTTCTGCTGCACCCAGGGTCGTTATGAATCAGAGCTGACTTGACCCCACCTACCAAGGAGCTTCAGTGGTCAAGCAGTTGAAGTACTCAGCTGCCAACCCAAAGGTCTGTGGTTTGAACCCACCAACCGTTCGTTGGAAGAAAGATGTGCCAGTCTGCTTCCATAAAGATTATAGCCTTGAAAACCATATGGGTCTGTTCTACTTGCTCTATGCTTACTAGGTCCCGTGAGTCAGAACTGACTGGATGGAACTGGGTTTGGATGGTTTGGTTAAACGAAGATCAACAGCAGCTGCATGCAATTTAACATTAACCCAATCCTGTGGTGTGCAGCACGCATACCCTACCAATTCCTTGCCTTATCACCCCTGCACAAACAGAACACAGCAATGCTATCTGAACCTGCAGAAAGGGAAAGTTAAATGAGCTGACAGGTCTATCAGCTGCACAGAAGAACTTATCTGGGAGGAAAACCACCACTCAGACTAGTCAATGTCACTCTCTTGGGAGACTGCACACACAACGAGTCAAGAAAAAGGATGCAAAATGCTCCTATTTACCAGCGTGTTGCAACTCATCACAATTAAGTGAAGGGCAGACCCATCATGGAATGCCTGGCAACTCAAATTGAATTCCCCAACACTAAACGCCTGGCTTCTGCAACAGACTGGCGATTCATGAGGATGGAAAAAGCCATTTACCTCTGGCTTCCAAACAAGACCTATTCAGGAGGTATTTCTCCATACATTTCAAAACGCAGCTCAATTACCCAACTCTGACTCCACGGAGAACTCCAAACGCAGCCCCAACCAAGACGGAAACAGATTAAGTCCAAAGCACGACACAGGCAGGATGGGACCAGGCGCTAACAAAAGACCCTCCCCTCCCCACATGCAGGATGGTCTCGGGTGGTTGGAATGACTGTCCCCACTGACCCTGGCCCCACGGGTCTCCAGGACTGTACCAGGAGCAGCCAGCCCAGAGAAGCACGGGCTTCTCGCCTATTAATTTCAGAGGCCTGGCCCCAAACCCCGAACCCACCCAGGGAAAGCATCTCCACCCTGTCTTCCCGAGCTGCTGGTTTTCACAGGTGAAATGGGTTGGTTTGTTTGGCGAGGATGGCGAGGAGGGGTGCTACAGCACCTGAGATGGTGCTGAGTTCCAGGGCTAATGCCCTAATTTCATTCCCAAACTGCTGGTGACTCCTCTGCCACCCCGCCCAACCCCTAATTCACTTAGTATGTTCAAGGAAATCGCCTTGCCCTTGACCCTGTCTCCCCAGCAGCCGGCCCTGTCACCCAGGGCCTCTGGAGCTCCTCGGGTCGCAGCAGCATCACCAGAGGTTCCCTGCTGGCAGGTCCTGCGGGCTGGCGCAGTGGCCACAAGCCCCAGCCCAGATGGGGCCCCGACTGCAAAGGCCTCTTTGCAGGCCGGCCTTTCGTCACTGGCGCCGGGAGGAGAGGAAGCCCGGCTGGGCGCAGTCCCAGCGCGTTCCTTCGGGGTTTTTCCACCAGCCCTTGCCTCCGCAGCTAAGGCTCCCGGGGCCAGCCGGCCGGGCAGCGCAGCATTCACTATCGCCCGGTTCCTTGCAGGTGACCTTGGCCACGCTGCAGCGCCCGCCTGCCATCGCCAGCCGGACACCACCGACTTGGCCGGCTACGGGCGGGTAGGTCACAAGGATGTCACAGCGCGCTGGGCTGAGTCCTGGTCCCGGGAGGGGGCCGCCCGCTCTAGCGGCAGCCGCCGGCCGGGGGGCGGG